CCATCGCCAGTAGGTTGTAGGCCATCGCTAGTACGTTGTAGGCCATCACCAGTAGGTTGGAGGCCATCGCCAGTAGGTTGTAGGCCTTCGCTGGTAGGTTGTAGGCCATCACCAGTAAGTTGGAGGCCATCGCCAGTAGGTTGTAGGCCTTCGCTGGTACGTTGTAGGCCATCACCAGTAGGTTGGAGGCCGTCACTAGTAGGTTGTAGGCCATCGCCAGTAGGTTGGAGGCCATCGCTGGTAGGTTGCAAGGCCACCTAAGAAAACACAAGTTGTTTTGCGCTTTGTGGCCAAAGGACTCTCGCTTGATGGAGTTTGCAGTCATGGTGAACCAGCTTTTGGCCAAAAGCTCTGATTCCCGGCAATGAGCAATGAGACGGGGTGACACATAATGAGACATCGTGCTTCATCCTTGTCCTCTCAAAGGTATGTTTTGATACCGACTTTGGGGTCCGTGCCCACCCATCTGAATTTGAAAGTTAGGCTGACTGCTACGTCAAGTACGATTGCTAACGCTCTTTCAGCCCCAAACAGGTGTGTATGAGCCACAGCTGATCAATCAAGTTACCAACAACGGGGTCAAATCTCTAGTCGAGTCGAGTGTGGATTGAGGACGCCAATCGACGAAATTTGTCCGTCCGGACCTTTCATGCTCACCCGGCTTGTTGGACGATTTCTCAGACGAAGCTTTGGAATGAGAACACCTAGTAGCGTCCGATCGCTCCTAGTAGTACGGCCAGGAGCCCCCAGTAGCGAACCTTGTTCCTAGTAGTAAGGCCAGGAGCCCCTAGTAGCGTCCTTGCTCCTAGTAGCGATGCCCTTTGCTCCTAGCAGCTTCTTACGAACCATGGCATGTCACAGTTCAGTCCAAGGCCTTGATTCTTTAGAAAAGCATTCTTGCATGCATGCTACCAGCGGGACTCTGATCGCAGCAGGTGGTCATTCTGTCAGAGAAATGCGGCCTTCTTGAATGGGTGCCCAACACGAAAGGATTGCGCCAGGTCCTCAAAAAGATATGATTCCCACATCTTTGTGCGCAGTTCGTACTTTTATTGTGCATCTTGTTTGGCTTCCTCCCGGCTGCCTGCTAGACTCACTTGCCTGACCCCCTCCCTCCCTTGGAGTGCATCCCCAAGCCTAGCTTTGAACATCCAGTCAGCGTGCCTGGGATAACACACAAGCTTCACATGTCGGGTTTTCCCGTCCGTTGACGTGTGAGCTAGCTGGATTCCAGTGCAGAGTAAAGCTCTCACATACTGATTTGACACGTCGAGGAGATTTCTGAGAATGATGCCGGACAAATTCCTTCAATTATTTGACATGTTGGCAAGAAATGCAAAATGGTGAGTACGTTGTGCTTTCTGGGCGATTGAAATCAACATGCCTTTTGGATTGCGCAAGCAGAACGCAAGCAAACTCCCCTCCGTCCCAGTAGGATCTCACTGTAGTGTCCAATCCTAGTTTGTCAATTGGGCGGGAATAGCAAAAAGTTTTTGCGAAATTATTCCCACACCCTGAGTACGTTAATGTGTGGGAACATTATAAGGTTCTTTTCGCCTAGGGTGTTTTCTTTTTGTTGAAGTTTGTTTATGTTTCTATTGTTTTGTTATTTGCTGCCCTTTAAGGTCCTTGCTGAACTACTACTACGACTCACCTACCACTGCTGCTGCTGCTACTACTCCTGCTACTACTACTGCTACTACTACTACCACCTACTACTACTACTACTACTACGTTTTCTTTTACTTCTACTACTACGACGACTACGGCTACTACTCGTGTTCTTGGTGGCAGTGCTTCTTTTCAGACCCCCTCAATTTTTTGTTAGGAGGGGGGGATTATTTTCTTAATTGAGATCGACCATTACGTTAAATCGTCTTCCGTTGTTTTCGAGATCACTTTTACGTGCCTTTGCTGAGGATATATCATTGATGAGCTGTGGAAAGGTCGCAAACAAGCACGCCAGAGTCTGACTGAAGTCAAGGAGATGTTCGACCGAAGCAAGGACAGGTAGACTGGGTGGAGCACAGGTAGACTACGTTTCAAACAATAGCAACTTGTTCCTAGTAGCTTCTTGTTTCTACTAGCTTCTTGTTACTACTAGTAAGGCACTTGTTACTAGTAGCGATGCACTTGTTACTAGTAGCTTCTTGTTACTAGTAGCTCTTCAGGTCATGTTCTGCACATTGCAAAGTGTGTATACCCGAGACCCTTGTCACACTTATTGTGCGTCATTTCGTGTCCATGGTGGCCAGTTGTCGTGCGATGGTAGGATTTGCATGAGACCTTTACTCGTCAAGTTCTTCCTCGACATCCACCAATGTTGCACAAGCAGGGACGCCTCAGCTGGTTTGAAGTATCAAGATCTAGATAGACTAAAAACAACCAAGAGCATGGTCATTAGTTTCAATCAAGCCTGGATTCATCAATGAGGCTGAGCAAAGTTTGGGATGTCACAAGTTTACAGCTGCAACGCTCATTCCATCCGACACATGTTTTGGAAGTTTCTTGACATTCCGCCGATAGCAGGATTCTTCTTGGTTTCTTTGATGTTTTATTGCCACACAATAGGAGCAAGGATGCTTCTAGGGGCTCCTGGCATCGCTACTAGGAACAAGAAGCTATTAGCTTATTGTTTCTACTAGCAAACATTGTTACTACTGGTAAGGCACTTATTACTACTAGCTTCTTGTTACTACTAGCTTCTTGTTACTACTAGTAAGACACTTGTTACT